CTAGCGGGACCCCAGTAGGCCTATACTACGATCGACGATAATAACATCAGACAAATGATCCATTTAAATAATTAGCGTATAAGCAAATCACGATAACGTAAAAAAATGGTTTGACTGAAAAATCTAAATAACATACGCTCTGCAGTAAGAAATAAATTTTGTTCATCGAAGATGAATACTAAAATTCTCGATTATATCTCTATTTAACTGGACTAATGCTGTGTTGTTTATCTCGATATAGGTATATTACATTGTATGCATGCACTTGACCAGGCGCATTACTTATTTACAAATCTACACGTATACATAAGCAAATACACTATACATATATATATATATATATACTTTTTACACATGTTTTGTACATACATTACACGTTTGAGTCACTAAATAGGAGAGGAATTGAGGAGAGGATTACATAGTTCTTTTAATATACAAAAATACATTTGTACAATTATAAGCTATTTACACTTAAAGAAATCGAAACTTTTTTAAAGCTACATTATTCGTATTTGCCTTTTTACCGGAACGTTGACGTTTTGTTTGTCTACTATCTTCTGAGAGCCACTTGAAACCGTAAGCGACTCTCGTTATCAACAGCGACCGAAGCATAAAGATTCGGTGATCGCGACAATCATCAGTAAACCACGATGGATACGTCTGACTGGTTTCTTCTATAATATAATCCAAAAGCTTGTTAATCAGATGGTGCTCATGTCGAATGAGCGAATACAATTTGGAAAAAGCTTTCAATTGAAACGAAACGACATTCCAATATTCTTCGGTAGCTGCTGTTAGATTGCCCAAGGACAATGGATTGTTGTCATCCTTTGTAGGGTACGCTTTGAAAAATTGCAAGATTTGATATTGCGATATTGCTTCTGTATCATTGTCCGCAAGCGTATTAGGGCAATTGTCGCAATTGAATTTTCGGAGGCATTTCCGTAATGAAAAACCAGCGAAATAGTAAGTGGCGTTATCTTCTAACGTTACATCGCGATCTATAACGGGTAAATCCATCGCGTCTCCTTCGATATTGCAAGATCCCCCGTTTTACTGATATAAATACCATTAGTTTTGTTTTTTTTATCTAGATACTTGATTTGCTAGGATTGATAGTTTTTCGTTGCTCAAATTATGCATTTATACACTTTATAAATTTATTAAGACATCAAGCAATAGATACAAAATTATAATAATTGTAGGAACGGTCACCAAAGTTAGCATTTCTGCTCTAATTTCACGACAAATAAACAAAACGAAGATTGAGGACGACCTACCCGTTTTGCACGACTGCTGGTACGGTCCTGTTTATTCACTAGACTGTGACTTGCGAACAGTCTAAAAAGATTATGCAAGTTAGAGATTAGAATTTGCAAGCAACTGAGATAAAATAAGAAATATCTTAAAAATTCAAGTGTCATTATCATGGCACAATATATTGATATGATATTGAATGATTTTCAATAGTCACTCTACTTTTCCTGATAACGTTAAATACTTATTAAATATGAAGTCTTGAAGACGTAGTCTGATGATTTCTCTATCAAAGTATTTGATAAAGAATACTTAAGCCTATGACCATGCTTATTATACAGTAAATAATTACTGTATATCAAAAAGTTAAATCCTACAAATTATCAGTACGTCACGAAACGAATAATAATATTAATCAACTACGGAGACACTTTCAGGTAGAAGATATTTTGATTATCAGAATCTACCGCGACATTATAATCTTAATGAAACGTAATATCCGATATGGCCAAATTAAATTCTTCAAATATGTAGGTTAAGTAGGTTTACAGTTAACAAATACATATGAAGCCTATTCCTGTTGTTCCATAATAAATTTTATTAACAATGTTTCATAACAATGGTAACAATATTAAATTCATAAATTCTGTGTGTATATTACACTATGAATAGTTTCGCGAGATCTACATCTAGGAATCTCAATACATGAATAATCTTATTTCCTCACTTTAAATTTTAAATGTCAATTTTAAATAAATAAATTCTGTATAAATACATGCGCCGCAATTAAACCACTTCAATTACATTTATTCGCACGTACATACATATGTCAATCTGCCATTTATTAATGACCTAACGGGTTGCACTGCTTAGCATATAATATTATTAATATTCTTGATACAGTACAATATCATCAAAAAATCCGCAAAAAATTTTCTAATTCACAATTATATACGCTAAAAATAAAAAATGCAATCATCATTCAGAGTTAATGCAAAATTTCACATTATGAAAAGTAACACATCCTAATTTTCGTGTTAAAATTATGTTGCAACCATAATTTAATTACAATACCTGATTTCACAATAATCGATTCACGTTCTTTACATTATTCAAAATTTCACGATAGTTACGCATGAAGGGCATGAATAAAACGGAGCTAGTACAGCTAACAACTGCTGTAACAAACATCAGACTCAGAAGAGCTGTTAAGTATTCCGCATTGAATATCATTGATGTCTTCTGATAAATAAAGACCAGTGTAAATGTTGCTATTGTGGATGATCCCAGTAGTGTGGAAATTATAAGGCTATCTTGTGGTGCCGCTGCATACCTAAAGTATAGAAACTTTTTATTAAAATAATCATGAAAATGACGAAGCAAATTACCATGATGGAAAAATATGATACATCCTCGAATAAAAAACTTGACAGCATAAGAATAATTAGTCTCACTAATGCTTTGCTATATATTATAGACAATATGAATAAAAACTATACTTGTACATTGAATTGCATTTTCTTAGTCATGAGTATGTATCGACATAATATAATGTAGGGTTACAAATCCAGTAATTAAACACACTTGACTAAGCATACAGTATAGAAGACACAACATTTTCATACTCCATTATCATCATAAACCCTCAAATGCATAAAATGTCACCTTGATATGTTAATCTAAATTGACATAAATTTCTATCATTTCTCCTATCAAACGATTAGAATAACATTATTATCATAAAAACTGTCTTTCTCAGATGGTTGCATAACTATGACACTATGAAGACATAAGAAATATAAAAAAAAAGAAATAGAAAAACTTTAATATCAAGCTTTTTCAGTCGTTATACAATATATTTGCACACCTTTAAAATTATCTTCTCACCGCAACAAGCTATCATGTAGGTAGATAAAAAAAGGTTCTACACTTTCGCTACAGAGAGCGTTAAATAGCTGTTGAATCATGACCATTTCAATTATAATATGAATGAAAAAGATGATAAAATACGTCTGGCACTTACTTGGCATACAAAGAGTACAAAACCGGACCCAAATTGGCAACTTGAACCAGCATCACCATATACGCAGGTAGACTCCATCCCTCCGGAGCCGTATTTACCAATAAGGGTAGTTGTACATAAATGCCGTTAACACCCATCCAAGCACCGACTCCGAACATCAAAGCCAGACCATCGACAAGAAGACGCCTGTTGCTGAATCGTTGGGTCAACGTCATCTTGTATTTATTTAATCTTTATGTCTCTGTTTAAATCACTCCTTAGGAACACAAAATTGTCATTTACTTTGCTTCCGTCAAAGATTATTTTAACAGAACACTAGCATCACACAGCTCGCCCAATTTACGTTTAATGTAGGAATTTTTCCGATCATCAGCTCTTCTCCCGGCAACTGTAATTTATTGCTTAACAATATAATTGCAACCATTCGAAAGGCAATTATTTCAACAAAACGTTTTACTTGTGTTCGCACAAAAAACTTCACTCGACGGTACCGTATGAATGTAGTAAAAGATTGTCATTATCCTCGGTAAAGTTTTTTAAATATATGCAGAACTATCCAACAATCCGGTCAAATTTCAATATATACATTTCTTTTCCTTTTAAGACCAGCGGGTATTAGCAACATGCAGAAAGGTATGCTATCGAGGTTAAAGGCACTTCGTATAAAAGATAGAGATGCAGCCTGAATCGTCCACAAGGAATGTATCGTTACAAATGAATATCTGCTAATCACAGGGAATATGTGTGTTTGCAATCACATTTGCAACGTTAAAGTACCGAAGTCTTATCGGCCTTCTGTTACGTGTTCCAATCACGTATCATATAACCTGCAATCATTAACGGAAGTACGTCCACTCAACGCTACTATCTCACTCACATTCTGTAGCAGGTTGTCCTTTTCAATTGAACTGCACATATAATGTTCATACATATAAAGCTTATTTCCGGTATATGCAAATTGAGTTGCTGTAAGAACCAATAGAAAGAAACGCGGTTTAAAACCTGCCAGAAAGAATCAACTGTTCGCATTTTTTCAACGTATATAATTTAAAGTCGGATTCAATTATATTTGGAAATAGAGACCAAGCAGATTGATTGATTGATCATGGTAATGATGAATAATTTTAACTATCATATTTTTATTATTATAATTACTATTTTCTTTTGTCCTTATAACGTTGATACCTCTGACTAACAGTGTTTCTTACAAATTTGAAATAACTCCTTCCTAGAATTGGTTTCTTTCAGATATATTACTCGATATATTTCTAATCATAGTAGCAATAGTAGTAATAATATTACAACAATAATTAAATTTAAACGTAAATGATCCTTTTAGCGACTACAATGATGGAAGCATAACAATTTTTGTTCTTAAGTTGTCTCAGATATGGATTTTCAGAATTATAGAATGCGAGTAATGCAACATAACAGTCAAATATAATCTGAAATAAAAATAAACGAAAGACGGACGAAGAAGCGTGCAAATAAAAGTAAGCGGATGTGCGTGTATGTGTGTGCATAGCAAAAAAAGCAATAAAAAGGATAATTTTCGCCTTAATATTTTATAAACACATGGACTTCCAATACAAAATACGATCCTGGAATCCGAGGATGGCATCATTGCTGTTTTCTTTCTTAGTTTTAAAAGGATTTTCCTCCTTGTTAGGATCTGTTGTTGGGTTCTTATAAATATAATAATTCAGAGAAATCAACAATATTCTGTGTATTTGCCTTTAATTATTTTATTATCGTTTAGCAGGTAAATATATAAGTTACTGTTGTCATGTCACTAACTACAAATAGATAAAATTACAAGTGCTTATCAGGGGAGGGTGAGAGTGGCAGGGATTGAGGGCTAGAATGCCCTCTTCAATATGGGTCCGTGCCTGTTCATTTATCCGACATTTGTAAAACTTCTGGCAACTTCATCCCAATTTCACATCGTCTCGTTTTATTTCATTTCTTCCATCAGTTCTCGTTCCTCCGTTACTTAAGCTTCATCCTCCACAGCCAACACAGTTATCGCAGTTCAGTCCGTCGACGACACAACACATACACACACACGAGGTTCAGTCTTTGAAATAAAAACAATATCTACAAGGTCGCGTATTGTCAGTCGCAATATAATAATCGTGGCGATTAGGTCAACAATGATCCATTTCAAACGGATCCCTCTTCTTAATTGCGGCCACATTATAATTAATACATTAATTGAGGGATCCTGCGGCATCGTTATGTCGCACTTTACCCACGTTACTTTCTCTCTCACTTTCACTCTCAATACAAATGCAATACTACTTTATTTATGGTCGTCGGCGTTAACGGCGACAGTTGCTAACATTGCGTAAACTAAGTGTCAGCTGGCGAGCCAGTTAGATAGTAATCAGTCTACTTATCAACCAACTGGATAGTAATCGGTCCACGGACCGTCCAGCTAATAATCGATCTACTAGCCAGAATGAACCAGCTGTCTAGCAATCAGTCTACTAACCAACCAGCCAGATAGCCAACTGGCAGTAGTCAGTCGGTTTAACGAAAATTCAATTGGTATTCAAGTTCCTAGTTAAAAAACCATGCGATCCAGAGTCTTGCTCAGTACAACTGTAGCAAAGAACACTCCACGAAATCTGATCAATTTTTCACAGTGCCTGAGAATACAATAAACTCTGACCTACGAACCCACAAAGCTCCCTGGCTCTCTCGCCCACTCGTGACCTGGACACAATTCAAGAAGTACCACTTCACATATAAGCAATATAGACGTGATTAAACAGACTCGAATACCCTCGATAAATCCTTAAAATAGCCTAAACACATTTTCCATATTTTTTTTCGGCCATATTACTTCTTCGTTACCTCAATTATTTATCAATCGTCTCCCCTTCACGTTTCTTATCTTTTCGCATCACTCTCGTATACTGCTGAGTGTACACGTGCAATATAATCGTGATAAATTTACGAAAATAATAATAATTAATAATTAATAATAATAATATACTCGCAATAATAATCATAATAATAACTGCAATAGTAGTAAGAGAAAGAACCATTTACTAGCTTCTTTGAAACGCCATTTCCTTTTCCTCCCTGGAAGTTATCAACTTTTCTTCCATTTTCTGAAATTTTCTTTCATTTTTCTATCAGGACTTTTTCGCCTATGCGGATACACGCTGGTTTGCATAATGCATGTGTACTTTGTGCGGCAGCGCATCGAAGGCACTCTCTACTCTACCTTCTTAGGATCTCCCCCCTTGTAAATTGTCGTCCTCGCCATTATCATGGTCGTATTCATTTTTCTTATTCTCTTCATTGCGTTCATAGCTACCCAAAGATAAATGTTCCTGGTCATCTTCCATGTTACGCATGTTTCTCGGCACAGCGTGCATCAAGTTTATTCATGTTGTCCTTCAATTGTATTTACTGCCGGTTGTGTCGGTTTTCGTTTTATAATAAAACGCGATATCTCGGCACGACACGCACAGTAAACTTTTTATACCGTACTTTTTCATTAGTCGTTATGTGCGCGCGCATACCAAATATCCGAGAAATCGCAAAACTTCCGAAAACGGAGAGACACACTTTAAATTAAAGTGACTTTTTCAAAGAGTAGCGCGATCACACCGTCCTTACGCACGCTGTATACTTATAACAATATCTATTTAGTATCGGTATCGGTATAACAACGAGATGTTTTCTCTGTTTCTTTCTTTTATTATTATATTTTGCTCACGACGGACAATAGCACGCGGCACGCGTGTGGAGCAAATACATATATACTGATACATTGGTAGCGAGTTTTCAATGATTTTTATTCGTTTACTTTACTCCGTGCTTACGTTTTTTTTTTCTTTCATTTCCCGATACATCTGCATTTCAAAAAAATGTTATTTAGTTTTCTTATAAAACGGCCGTATCGTTACGCCCGTCGGGGGTATGACAAATAGTGTCATTTATTTCAAGGTGACAAAATCTTATGTTTGCGCATTTGCGTTAGCGCGTCTACGAGCGCCCATAGTGTCGTCCACGCGACTGGCAGTAGTTTAAATATACATTAGATACTTTTTTTTTCTTCGTTACCACTTTTCGATTCGACCGATTTAAATTTGTCAATCGTGAAATTCATTAAAATCCTTTCCTTACCTACTTCGTATTATAATTCATTGCTTTCGCATTTCTCTGAATCTTTTGTTTGTCGATCGATCAAACTCGGCGACGTCAATGGCGTACTGTGTCGATCGAGCACAAAAAAAAAATTAATTATATCGACGACCAAACATACAGATAATACGCGCAGTGGGCCGTACTTTGAGTCGAAATTATTTCTGTGATAGATTCGTACAATGCAAGAACGCACCATGGTTACGCAAGTGTCGACTTACGGAAATCGTCTTTTCCTCTAAACATAATATTCAATTTTAAAATCACGGACACACAACCTTCCTCCATCACGACCATTTTACGATTTCTTTTTTTTTTAAGTATATTTTTTCCTGCACTCTAGACCGTCAACGATATTTTATTATTTACAAATTGAAAATTACAGGCGCGAGGCTGTCGCGTCCGCTTAGCGAACATGTCTTTCTTTAGGAATGCTTTAAAAAAAAGAGAATAATAATAATACAGAAAAACAAAAGAGATAAATTTTTTCTAATCTAAAAAAACATTGCGGGACGGAAATATTTCATATTAGAAATCGTACGTCAAAGATGGAAATGGCGAAATACAAGAGAATCTCCACGATATAGGAATTCATATTCAGTGTGTCCCAAAGAAATGTGCATTTCGTGTATAAATAGCTCAGGAATATTCCGTTTCTTTAGGATAAAATGGAGGAGGCGAGTGTTACAATACAGTACCGCTCTTTTTACATGTATCCATGTTTCTATGTCAAAGCCAAAATGCGAGATGGCATTCGAGAACTCTCTCTTCGGGGTTTTTCGTTTCTCTTCGAATTACTATGCAATAAAGTAACTTTTCACGTGGTAGTGTCCTGTTTGTTTTTCGTCGGTTATCATTGTATTCCCTTAAATTTATTCATTTTGTTGATTCACTTCCTCCTTGTTCTCACCATCTTGTTGACTCACGTTTGGCTTAGTTCCGCCGGTTTGGGTGCCGCTTGCGGCATCCGCGATTTTGTCACTGTGTGAATCGTTCTTATCGGTCGAATCCATCTTGACGTTACCTGCAATCACGTTTCACCACAATAAATATCTGATCTTTCCTGTCCTTAAGAAGACGTATTGCATACATTTACACTTGTCATTACGATCTATGAATTTTTACTTAGAAATGTATTCGAGTACCGATAGAGTATTTGATCAATTATAATTAAAGAGAAGAGAATAGGACTCACCTTGTGCAGAATAATATTGTTGCTGCATCTTCATGTTCCGCTGTTGTTGCTGCTGCTGTTGCTGGTGCAAATTCGGTCTGTGTCTATTCATTTGCGTTTGTTGTTGCTGCGATGGCATGCAATTAGGTTGTTGCTGCGAGGGATTGTTTGGATTAGGACCTGGTGGAAACGGTACCACTGGTCTCTGAATCGGTGGTGGGTATCGTTGCTGCGACGGCTGAATTCCTGCCCGTGGAGGCATTCCCATTCCACGGACATTCTGTTGCAAAACCTTGGTTTTATGAAAGAACAGAAGATAAAATAATATAAAACGTATTTCTATTGGTATCATAATGCTTATAACATAATTTAATATATATAAGTGGTCACATTACAAAGTCTTTACGACTATCCCATTCTTTGTATTTCCTAATAAAACTTAGTTAATTTTATTATTTTAATTGAGATTGCTAGCTAATTTCAACATGTAAGATCACTTGTAACTATACAATATTATTTCGAGAAGTGGTAATATATTGCCAAAAAAATTCTTAAAAAATCAGCAACATTAGTAATAATAGAATGCCATCATAGTTGCGGTCGGTTAACGTTTTCAAGACGTAGTATTGTATGTACGATAATTACACAATTTATAAAGAATGGAAAATAAAGTATAGAGTAAAGTACACTCTGAGTGTACTCGGAATAAATACTATTAAAATACAATGTGATAGAACCACAAGGAAGTTATCCCTATATAATCTATATAAAAAAAAGTCTGCAAATATTTCAACCGCATGTTTCGTGCGGCCACGTCTTATGCATTCGCCATTGCAAAAAATAATAATTTCGTGAATACGGAACATTCATTTTAAAAAGCACTGAATATCTATAAATGTTACTGTGTTATCTATATCTGCCCGGAACCTAATTATTCGTGTAAACTTCAACATGTTTCAATTTGTTAAGTTTTTTATAAGCATACTTAAATCTATTTTTTGCAACGGTAATTCCATAAATCACTCTCACATGTTTCTTACGGTTGTACCTTTGAAAGTTAAGGTTACGACAAGGTATAGAGCTTGAAAAAAAAAAAAAGTAAAAATGCCAATTGTGGAAAATTAATCTTAAGAACTGAGAGATTTACACTAGATAGAAATAAATGAGTCAATGAATGATACATACATAGTTATTGTAGCTGCTTACCAGAGCAGACTGACTGACGCCCTGATATTGTTGATATTTATGATGCTGAGTAGGACTTGGTTGAGGTTGTTGAGAGGGCGTTTGCTGCTTGCAAGTTCTTGATTTTGGAGAGGGTATCTGAGGCGCTAAAGAATGAACGATTACAATTAAAATTTGTGCGAGACAGCTAAATCACTTTGGAATCCACTGAGAGGAAACCTTGCTCAATATTTATATACATAGTTACTCACACAGATAATATTCGAAGTAACGAATATCCACATCCAAAATATTCTGTGTTCAGGAAGTACTGTTACTACAGTTGAATAACTAAATTGAGATTTGCTGCAGAATTCAATTTTTAAATTAATCTTTAGAAATTATGTAAAATATTGGTAAAAAGTGAAAGTGGAATAGCCATCATCGTCACAAGTACCGAGTACTTGTGTTTCCACTGTTTTATAAAAATTGATGAAAATCAAATATAAACAAAAAGTACTGTAGGAGCTGATTTTATTTAGTTTTACGAGTAAAGACGTACAAGATGATAGCGTTTTTGCGCGTATATATTTAGATGAGGAGATTCCTCGCTTTTGAACATTTTCTGTATGACAACACGCCCACAAGACGAATATGTTAAGTTTCTTATAATTACTAAACGAGATAATAGTACTTAGAAAGAACCCAATGAATATAGATAAGTATGTAGAAAACAAATTGTGAGCTTTCTTAAGACCATAATCATTTTTTTATCATCGATATATTCGGATAGTCTGTTTATGTCATACGTTCAAAGAGTTTCAGTTTTTTAAACCAAAAAATTACCAGAGATTCAAATCCCTAGTTTTTCTAAAGTAGAATCTTCTTAATTGTTTTCTACTACTTATTTAAAATAAACTGCAGGTGTATGCTTAACACAATGTACAAAATTCTTACTTGAACTAAAAACCGAAGCAAGCACGTCCTGCTGATTTCCCGAGGGACTCTTCAACTGCCTAGGTTGTTCCTGTTGCTGATGCTTGCTAAGAAATGTTGCAGCTGCATTTGCTGGTCCTGGCAAACCTCCGGCAGGGTTACGGTATTGCTGTGCGGCAGCTGCGGCTGCAATTTGTAGACCCGAGCCAGACAGAAATTGGGAACTAAAATTCTGGAGGCCAACTGGGGTTGCATTTCCTGTCGCTAGACTCTGACTGTGCTGTCCAAACCCCTGGAGCCCGTAGGGAGTGCCAGTTTGCTGCGCTGCTCCACCAGGTTGATAGAAGCCTGTTTGCGAACCAGGAAACACGTCTGGAAGTAGGATCGACTTTAAGAATCCATGCGAAAAAGAAAATTATTAATCGACCGCACCAGCTTCAAAGACGCACACGCACAAGACTCCCGATACTTCAGCGTAACTGTATTATTGTAACAGAGCATCATGCTTCAGCGACGGTCAATTTTCTATATTATAACTAAAGATTGGATTTAGTGACTATCAAAACGTAGAAGTTACGTACTACTTATTAATTGCGTCAGCGACAGAAAGCATTTTAACGATCGTTAATAAATAATGCAAATATGTGTAACGCCAGCCTAAATAATTCCAAACAGTACACAGCACAGCCAAACAAATATACTAAACGTTTGCCTTTACACAACACGCACGTTATTATAAAAACAATGTAGATATACTTGAAGACCAACAAAAAAAAAAACCTTGAAATATGTCGAGGAATTATATTCCAAGAAGATATTCAACATGAACTTTAATTTACAATAGCGATACTATAGATAATGCGTTTCAGGAAGAAGCGACTAATAGAGTACGTTAGAATAAAGGAATAGGCCAGTCAAGCTTACATAGAAGGGTGTTAGGTTTACCGGCGGAGGTGGCGCTGTAATAGCTGTTCGCCGATGGCTGAACACTTGGACCAGGCCGTTGTACCAATTGCGAATTACCCATATAGCTGCCACTTACTCCTAGTACTTGATTGGGATCGTATGGTATGTACGTCAGCTATAGAAAAAATAGAAGAAATGTTATAAGTAGAAAAAGAAGTAAAGTCTTCTTTATGCATCAAATGAGTTCTTCGCTGCATTTTATTAGGACTAGTGTTAAATCTAACCTGATTTGGTTGTGGTGCAGACGGCGCCTGAAAGTGTGGCGCTTTGGTACCGATTGCACCGATAGGTTGGGAGGAAGGTTTCACGCTAGCAGACATCAGTGAATTTGATGAAGAACTAATCAAAACTGTGTTTGGATTGTTGCTTAGTTGCTGATTCTGACCAAATGGTGGTGCAGCTGCTGCAGTCTGCATGAAAAAGTTTAGTATAAGTAAAACAAAATAATTTTGTGGATCAGGATTGAAAAATTAATTTAAAATTGCAGGAACTCACGATTCTATATTGTGACAGGTTACTCTGGTACATATCTGGAGTTGGAGCATTTGGAGCATGCGGCGGCGGTGGTGGTTGCTGAAGATAAACATTCTGCTGATTGAATGAGCTCTGCAGAGATGGCCCATAGGGGGGATACTGTGTGAACGGGGATCGACTCTGATCCAATTGGAACGCTCCATACAGACCACCAGCTTGAGCTGGTAATTGTCCCGAACCAGTATTGAACAGTACAGCAGGTGGAGATGGGATGGCAGACATGCTGCCATATTGAGCCGCCTGAGAACCTGGGTACTGCGGGAACTCCTGAAAGAAACAAAAGCAAAAAACAAGGTTTATTATTGAATATCTTTAACACGATAGTAAAGATCGTAACTTATTCGTACCTGATAATTTATATGAGAGGGTTGTCCCGTTGAATTGAATGGTGGTGGACTAAGCGGACCCTGAAGACTGGCTGGCGGATGTCCTATTGGACTTTGACCTGGTCCAATCGGACTCGGCCCTGGTACCGCTGACCCTGGCTGTGCTCCGCTGCTACCTGAGGTTTGTTGCTGCGGCTTCACCTGCGGGGGAACCAGCTGCGCATCAGGCAAAGAGTCAGCGTCTTCCCACAGGGGACTTAGAATTTGTTATTTTATTTGTCTATTTACATCATTATCATTCTGTACTTCATCTTTTGTTAATAGCTCTGAACGATTTTACTGTTCTTTAGAAGCTCTCATGCTCGCGGACAATACTTTGACGAAAACAGACTCATCGTGTACATTATTTTTATTAGACAACACTATAAAAACAAAAGAAAAACATGTTCTACGCAAAATTGTGACAAAGAAATACAAATTGATATATGTATCAAAAGTATAATTAATATCTCTAAACACGTAGTAGATACGGTATCTAAGTTTCTTTTCCATTAATTGGATGAGTTTGCGTGAGAAGCGTCGCATCAGCCACTTACCTTTGGTATTTTCACCAGTTATCACGGGATAAAAATTATTTAAAAAGTATGTAATAATCGAAAATATGATTCATAGAAATGACATTTAACGACAGATTAGTGATCAACAACGAAGCAGGTGACTGATATATTCAAATTGAAAAATAAAAAATGTAGTGATGTAATAGCACGTTTGCACGTGTCAACGTTCAACGACATTAAACTAAGAAATTGTGTGACGCGAAACGAATTCTCACCTTGCACACATTTGTTGATGTCGTTATTTCATTCTTCATGTTGGCCTGATTGTACTGCTGATGAGGATTGTAACTGTCATCAACGTTGCTACTTTCAAAGGCTTGTGGGAAGCTATTGGGAGTGCTGACAACGCTTCCGTCCTCGTGCTCCACGACGGTAGGCATAGGCGGTGTATTTTCCCAGACCTTCTTCACGGAGGCAATCTTCAAGTTTAGTTCGGCAGTTGATGGCGAAATGGTGCTCTGACCACCAGTCATGTGCATAGACCTCGGCATGCCCAAGGACTTGCTTTTGTCATCAGTCAACTGAGACAAGTCGGAGTCAAATGTGAAGTCGAGTTTCATATCTGCATTATCCTCGCTCTTAGTAAATGACAACGGCATTTGAATCGGTTCCTGCTGAGCACTCTTGTCCTTCATAAGATCGTTGGCCTTGCTCGAAAATGCTACTGATAACGCCTGCTGCTGATGTTGAAGCTGGCCGTTCTCCTCCTCCATGTCACCACTGCGCTTGTCTATCCTGGGCTGGTTCTTGATGTGATTAGAGAATTTTGACTTGATAGCTAAGTCCGTTGGAGCTGATTTTGTCGTTTTCGAGTAGTTCGTGTTCTCGAAGATCAAGGTATTCAACGGTGGTGATGTACCATCGGAAACATTCTTCTCCACGGCTATACTGTCCTTAGTTATCTTACCAGGAGGTTTCTCATTATTTGGTGAATTTCGCTGACTACTACCACCGGAGTTTATCTGCTCATTAGTTTCATGGCTATGATCATTCTGAGCCGTCAAACCCGACATCAGCTGAATATCTGCTGGCACAGCTGCTGATGAAGATGGCGAGTTTGAGCGCAATTGGCTAGTAAATGGTTTATCCCAAGCATTAACGGTAGGTGGTGGAGCTGGTCCTCCAGAAGACGAATCCTTGTTATAACCAGGGTTGTTAGAATTGCCAAGTTTATTTGAATTAGTTTCTGAACCCGATTCATTCGTTCCCAATTGCTGTTGCTGCTGTTGCATTGCCAGACGTTGTTTTATGAATCTGGGCGCCAATTTCTGACGGTTTGGATTTCGGTCAAATTGTTTCGCGGACATGTTTGCCGGTTGAGGAATGGGTTGACCCAATAGTGGTGGTATATTCTGAATTTGTTGGGGATTAGGTTGCGAGCCATTAGATTTGGATTTAGAGCGATCACGATCGCGATCACGTTCCTTGTCCTTATCGCGTCTTGTAGACTTAGGCTCTTCCTTCTGACTGTGCCTAGACTCCTTGACATTCTTCTTGGAACGTACTTCCTGAAATCCGTCAGAGTCCAATTTATCTTCAGCACTGTTAACGGCATCGTCACCACCGGCTGAATAATTGTTAACTTCGGTATCAACCTCAATCACTTTTTTATCCTTGCCTTGCGTCTTCTTCTTCATGTCACTCAGTACCTGATTCACGAGATTAGGATTATTCAGCTTGATCTCGTCGACGCGGTTCACGGTGCTCTCCTTGTTTGTATTTTTGCCAGAGATAGGTGCGCTGTTTGCTGAGCCTTGACTACGAGGTCGACCATTTTGCGCTTGTGCATTTTGCATCAATGGTGGTATATTTCCAGAATGATTTCGGGGATTGTTGAACGATGAGTTTTGCGCATTGCGCTTCTCGGCACCTGGCGCGCGCGAAGTCGCACTGGAAGACTTGGAACTCTTTTCACGATCACGATTGTTTCCACCTTGTTCGCCTCTGCGCGACTGAGCATTGTTGCTCGAGAGATTTTGCGTTGAACCCTGATTACCACGATTAGCAAATTGCTTATTGCGGCTGTTACGTGATTCTTTACGTTCCTCGACGTGCTCCTCGCTATTTTCTGACGTTGTTTCCCATTCTTCGTTTCCTACGTCCAGAGAGTTTTGTTTTGAAATGTTACTGCCACTGGCGCGAAAGCGGGCTTCACGACTCTCCTTTCCCTGGAAAAAAAACCACATTGAGTAAGGATGTATTCATGGAGATGTATATAGTTTAACCGAATGTAAATTTAGTCCATTTCCGGAACATCAAAAACAGATTAAGATCACGATCTTCAGTTTTCAAATACTAATCTACTCTATCAATGTTTTCCAAATACTTGTGTTTTTTTATTTCGAATAAGTTATCATTTATTACTTTACTAAATATTCATATATGTAGATTAATATCAAGTATATCACTCGACAACAAAGCTAAATAGATGCGTTTAAAAACAAAATGTATTTTGCCTCTCCTAATACAGCTACCATACAAAGTACTCATACGTAGTACTCCTGAATCTAATTTGGTGTAGATAATAAGATTCGTTTGTATAGATTGTGCAATTCTAATATTAGGTATAGAAAAGCTAGAATTTAAAAGCCAGCATAAAATTAATCCAGATTACTTACTCGTCTGCTTCCGCTTTGGTTTCTTTTGGAACGCGGTTCCTCCTTCCTGGATTGGGTTCTCTGTGGCACAGGGTTATGGCCACCAGTAAGATTATTATCCTGCTTATTGTTACCCTGATGAGATTGCTGGTTCGTTGACTTGGCGTGTCTTCCAGTAATACCAGCAGTGAGGGCTTGTTGCTTGGCAATAATTTTGTCATCTGAGGACTCCAACTGTGAAGACATAGTCGCGTTGGCTTCACTCTCTGGTGTAGGCGTAGGAGGACTTTGTTGAGAACCACCACTCAGCTTTTCGTCCGCATTCCGTTCGGTTGAGAAAGGACTCTTGCTCGGTGGTGGACCGTAAACCTCCATGCGACCCCCGGTAGTTGCACCACGCATTCCAAACCCCCCGCGACCCAAACGAGAAGGTTGTCCGGATGGTGCGAAACCCTCGCGACTTGGCCTACCATCATAACTTCTCTTATCGTTGCGAGACTGTGAATATTCATTTGCACCAGTTCCTCCAGCATTGTTACTGCCACTACCAACAGTCACATTGGCACCAGTTCCAGAAGCACTGCCGCGTTTTTCTTCACGTCGAGATACTTCTCGATTACGATCCTCCTTCTCAAGTTTCTGAGATGGCTTTGGTGATCTGGTCGACCTTCTTTCCTCCTTGCCAGATTCAGTTGACCCAGAGATCTCGTCTCCGCTCATCTCAGAATCGGTATGACCATAAGAACCACTTCTAGCAGATCCTGGACGACACATTGAACGAGGGCCTCCACGGCGTCTTCGGCATTCAGGTCCACGCCATCCTCTGCTATATACACTGCTATATGCACCACCCCATGGACGACCTCCGCGAGATTCCCGTCCTCTGGAGCTGCCACTGTTAGTCCTGTTGCGTACGTTCTTATCGCGCTTCTCATCCTTAGAGTCTTCCTTGCTGTCCTCGGCGAGTGTATCATCACGTTTATCTACACTGAGTTTTTCCATGCTCTGTTTGAGATCCACCAAGTCCTTTTCATCCTTGATGGGCTCTAACAGTTTCTCTTCCTCCTTCTCAAAAGTGGGCGACACTGCATCAGCCCAGGCTTTCGGTGAGTTGTCACCAGGTCTCTCCATTGCTCTACCATTTTCCGGAGCACGTTCCAACTTTCTGTTCCATACTTCCGACTCCTTTTTCAACTCAGTAGGACTCTCCTTATTGACGTCTTTTTTCTCTAGCTCGCTGCTGGACCTCTTTAATTGTGTCATACAACGTTTTTCGGCCTTGAGTTCATCGGCTTCCAATTTCTCCCGTGTCACGGGACCTGGTGCTTGTCTTCTGTCACGTTCCCGCTCGCGATCTCTCTCACGATCCCTATCTCGATCGCGATTATCATCGCGGTAAGGATCACGCTTCTTCTCATCATAATCAGAAATATCATTGACCCAAGAGCCACAGTCACGCGACTTATGAGATTCATCATCGCGTATAGACGTCCTTGACTCCCTGGATGCACGACTGTCCCGAGAATCAGGTCGTTGAGGACGGTCATTACGCTCTATGCGCTCATCCCTTGGAGGATCACGACGTGCCTCTATTGGTCTGTCTTGCAAGTTCCGTTCGTCGCGTAGATCACGTCGATCATCTCGCCATTCAGAACTCTCGGATCTTTCTCGAGGCAAGTCACGGTCGTCGAACGGATCCTGCTGAACCGAATTCTACGGGATATCAAAAAATAGGTTATCATTAACTTACATGATGATGAAATAAACAGATAAACATGTATTACAAAATAGTAAATCGAATTTAAATAATAATTTGTTTTGCTATGTTGAAACTCGAAATTCATAGTACATGAATTTCAAGCTGTGTATTAGCAAAAATTTATATATCCTGGTCCTCAAAAGGAATTGTACTGATAACTATAGCAGATATCAGATACATTTGCGGTTATTCAGGACATTTAGATCCTTTGTTTATATTGCGAAAGATTGAAGTTTGTGAATTGTATATTTAACGATCTTTGAGATTGGGGATTAGCTGATCAAAAGCTTTTATTATTCAACGATAACTTAATATTTTATAACTTGGTGAATTATCCTTCGCAAAACTCTTTACGTTTAATGAACTTTGTTTACGTCATTTATAAAATGGCAAAAATAGTAGAAAGAGCTTGTAGATATACTTCTTGGAACGATTCATGCATTTTTTAACACAATGCCTTCCGCACGTCTAATCGGGATTCTTTAGTTTGGCGTCGGTAGGACTGGTTCAGATCTCGCACTACCGTGGTGTCACCGGCATTTACTCAATAGTTTTGCACACGAAACCAACATGGTGGCACCGGCATTTGCCCGATAGTTTTCGCGGAACACCAACGTGGTGTCAACGGACGGCATAGTGTTAATTCACACATTTTCACCACACAATGCAATATAAATGCGCTTTTGTGATAATGTAGTAATATGTGTACAATGAATTCTTATTAAAGAATCTTATGTAATAGTTTTATCTACTTTTTCAGGTTGTGTAAAATCGAAATCTTATACACATGAAAAACATTAAATATAAATAGTAAAGGAAATAGAATATGGAAACATCAGTTCTTAGTGCATTGCAATGAAATTTTCAGAGAGACCTGATCGAGTATCGCGCTAAGTACAGGCATTAAATTATTAATAATAAATGACGAAGTGCAAAGATCAATAGAATTCGTTGAACTAACGTAATTATGCCACCTTAAAATAAGGGCACTAATGTGTTTATTTTTCGTACAATCTTAGAGTTTTAAAAGAAAAAACTAACCTTTGAATAATTGTCGTAATCCTTCTTCTCCCTGGTATCTCTATTATCCCTGTCTCGGGGTGCATCTCTCGAATCTCGATCTTTATCGGCGTAGTGCCTATCACGATCCCAGGAATCACGCGAGTGCCTATCATCATACTCGTATTCCCTGTAGCCACGATTATAATCATCATAATACCCGCTGTTTTTACGGCTGTCGTATGATCGGTGAGACGAGTGCCGATAACGTTCCTCTCTAGAGGGAACTGGTGCACTACGAAGATCTCTAGACGGAGGTCTATCCTCCTCCGGAGTTCCGGACAGTTCGGAATCAGCTCTGATACGACGTTGCGGTGGTGGCATGGAATGTGACTGCTTCATGCCGCTGTCTGCTAATTCAAAAAATTCATAAGAAACATTTGCCGCAAAATGGAACTGGTTTTCATAAAGCAGTTTACAAGTATAAAACAGAACAATATCAGTGTAAGGAATCATATGACAAACATAAACTTACTCAGTGAACTGGGATGGTTACAGTGTGACCATCTCCCAGGATCGTATTGCTGAGAAAAGGAACCTGGCTGGGAAGTGGAGGGTCGGTCGGTGTTCGGTGAAACACGATTATAACCGGAACCAGAACCAGTATTACCACCGCCACTACCAGAGCCAGCACCAGCGCCACTCCCGACGCTAGCGCCAGCACCACTTCTCTCAGCTTGTTGTTTCTGGAACCTAGGAGGTAGATTGTTCTGGAAGTATCGCGAGAACGCTGGTTGATCTCTATCCCTAGTTTCCCTTTGGTCACGTTCACGTTCACGATCACGATCACGCTCACGTTCGCGTTCCCTTTCGCGTTCACGATCACGATCACGATCACGATCACGGTCACGATCGCGGTCCCGTTCACGTTCACGCTGTTCACGATCACGCAAGACTTCCTGCTGCTGCTGCCCTTTGGTAGTACTACCAGGACGATCGACCGGACGGCATTCGCTCGCCGACTGATCACGAGATTCTCTGGAATCACGGACGGCATCACGGTTTCCTACTAGTTTCTCGTCCCTTCCTTCGGACGATGTACGCGATCTTTCGCGTTCCCTGCTTTCCCGCTCGCGTTCCCATTCTGGTATGGGAATGGGAACTGATGGAACGGTAATCAATGATCCTTTGGGTTCTGAAGAAACCACAGACTCGTCATCCTTTTGTTTAGCCTGCTTCTCTTTAAGTTTCTGCTCCAGATCCTGAAGTTTCTTCGCTGCGGCCTGTTTTGTTAATTCTTGGAAACGCTTTTCCTCTTCCTCCTTACGTTGCCGAGCTCGCTCCACCGCAGATGCCACTTTCTCGCCTTGTTCTCTACGTCTCTGATTCCAGATCTCCTCATCCTCAACGCCTGAGTAGGATAAAAGAGGTTAGAAAGACTTTCCCGTCGAAAATAACAAATAATTTTTTTTACACCAGGATGGATATATTTAAGAGCAGATTTAAAACATGCCAATACCTCGCAGAGGATGTCCAGATCGCATTTGCTGTTGTGAAGGATAAGTAGAGGGTCTATTAGTTCCCCGGAAATCACGTGGACCAGTAGAAGGTTGTTGATTCCAAGGATGATGAGATGACTGATCTCTTGTGTCTCTAGAATCCCTGTCTCTGTCCCTATCGTTACGGATATCCTTAAGCTTGTCACGATCCTCCAATGGAGTTTCGTCTCTTTTGTCATCCTTACTAGGACCTTTAGAGCCCTCCAGGCCTCTCTGATCGTCCTTTTTCAGGGGCTCAGACTCAGGCTCATCATCGCTGAAGGCCAGTTTCTGATTATAGTCGATATCGTCATGTGCTGCCCACCCAACTTCACGGGAAATATCATCCATCTGGGTGAGGTCTTCTTCCTTGATAATGGGTCTGGTAATAAGTTCCTCTTCCACGGGCTGCTGTGCACGTTCACGCTCCTGCTGCCGTTGTGGTGGTGGAAAACGTTCCTGAGGATAGTTGAACCTGGGTCGAGGTCCACCAGAGCCGGCCATGTTCCCCGGGAACTGAGAAGGGAATCCGCCAGGAAAATTTCCTCTGTACATCTTTACAATGGATACAAAAGTAGAATAGTGTTATATATGAGGTAATGTATGTTAGTATGAAGGTTTATCTATTGGAAATTTACATATAACACGCATCGTATTAGAATTCCTAGAGTGAAATTGCTGCTTTTGACTAAACGTGAATTCATATTTGTGCCTTTACAATACTTGACTGGTAGAACACAAATCCCCCTTTATGCAAAATCTTATATTTAGCAATAAAATATGTGGCAGTGGATCATCCGACGCCAGACTCTATTTTCATTAAACAAATTACTTGGAAGACCACAGAAAAGTTTCTTCCAACAACCGGTTTAACATAAAAAAAAATACAAAATGAAATCCAGCAACCTAATTCTGAAATGATAATCTTGTATGGTGATATGATCAAGAACTATGCACCGTTCACTCGATATTAACAAAATAACTTGATACAAAGAACATAATTTTTAAATATTGATTGAAATATATATATATGAAGTATTTTATAACTGATCAATAACCATAGAGCTGCTATTGTTTTATTACAACATGCTAAGGTAAATTTGCGAGTTTATTATAATTATCCTAATAATCTATTCCGTCAATATCATAACCAAGTTATTGTCTTCTTGAATGAACGATGCGATGTAAAAATGCTAAACCGCGTATTACTAATATACGAAAACTTTGTTCATTATTTCGATATTGAATTTTGCTTAAAATCCAGAACATTAAACGGTATAAAAATATCTCTTAACTCATAATGAATTTGAAATAATTGCACTTACAACATGATGGAAAATATTATTACGAGAAAATTACTCCTTGAATATGTTACAACTAATGTAAGTATGAAACCCCTATGAGTCTTAATATTGGGTACATCTGAAAATTCTGGTCGTTTTTTAAGATGAAACAGAGCACCCTCGAAACGGCCAAAAGTTTTCAATCGACCCAACAGACAGAACAGAATGATGACCATGATACTTACGAATGGAGGGATCAGTCCTCGATAATGATGCATATTCGGAGCGACTTGATGTGAACCGGAAGGGGCAAGGCTCTGATTGTTCTGAGTTCCGTTTGGGCCTCCCTGGGCCATGCCCATGCCCGGCGATTGGGCCAAGTTCGGTCGTCCGCCACCGGCCGCATCTTGGTGTCCTGCCGATGTACCACCTACATTCCCTCCTATCGGGGGGCCCTGGACCCCCGGAGTATTCCCATTCCCTGGCCCACTTCCGCTTGCTCCAGGTCCTCCTGCCGTACGACTTCCACCTTGGATCCAGCTTCCCTCTGCTAAAATTCATTAACTCATTTCTTATACTTGTACCATGGGCCACAATAGATGGCATGATTAGTATTCGTGGTAGGCATATTTATTGCTAACTAGGAGCATCAAAACAATACTGTAAATTAAAAAACCAATAAAAGGAATGCGGCGTATTCACAACTTCGAAATATTGAGTAAGTAAACTTCAACTCACTTTGAGGACGTAGGCTCGGGCCTGGTCCGTACTGTGCATTCAACTCTCGATTCTGCTGTGACTGTTGTTGCTGTTGCTGCTGCTGTTGCTGTTGACCAGGAGTTGGACCTCCTACAGACAATCAAAAGTTAAATTACTAAACTTCAGTTTCGATGCAACGTCAATATAAAACAGCGAACAAAATTCAACGAAACGAAATTCACTATGTAATATCAGAATCTGCGAACGTTCTTGTTGTTTTCAAGATCATTGGTATAAAACCGAACGAAAATTTACTGAGACAAAAACAAAAAACTAGGTATAAAATGAACTACGTAAATGTAGAAGTTGCGGAAGCATCTGCCATTTAAAAAAATCGTATGTAGATGAATATTTTAAACGTAATCACGAAAATCTTTTAGAAATGTTTGGGCCTCGCTAAAAATCAGCGCACTCTCCTTTTTATCAGTTTCTCCCATATACTATTTTATTTTTTGCGCGCAGTAACTTTAAAAACCAATCGACTTCAGCTGATTTCATAACTTTACATACTCTGAGAAACTATTTCGACTATCGTTAATCCTAATTCTTTTAAACTTTTTGCAACCGCCTTAAGTGTTCTTCTAGAAAATCCGTCTCTTTGTCATCAAAGGAATCTGCAATGGCTCGTTATCATCACTTCAAATCATGATACCGAATCCAGAGATTTCTTCAAAAAGATTTTCCAAATGATTCTGTCATATGCGATTACGCAAATTTATTATTGACAAACTCACAACTAATGGCAACACAACCTGACAGGTACTTTCACAAAATGGCTATCGAACAAAGAAAATACAACACAAAGAAGTAAATACCATAGTAGAAAAAATATCTTCAAAGAGCTTTCTTAGCTTCTATTAACCCAACCTCTCCCATGAAAAGCATAACATTAATAGAAGATGTGCAACTAAATAAATGGATCGTACCAAGAACGCTACATGGTTATAACGCACAGAAGTTGACTTGCTGTAGCAGATACGATAAGAAAATATAATTGAGAAAAACGGGACACGTGGAAGAAAACAAAAAATGGCTACATCTGCTCATATGTGACTTTTCCATATGTCTCCATAATATGCATGGCAATATACGCGGGAATGTACAATGTGTGTACAGATTTGTTAGATAACGCGTATACTATTTCTTTTTGTAGCAATTGATTGAAGCACTAAATAATAGTTGGGCGTAAAGTCGACAAACGCGTTTACCCCTATATTTGTGCAAGTTTCACTGAATAAAACGAAGCTCAAAAACATTTTTTTCTGCAAAACGTGATGAAGACACTTTGAAGAGAAGAAAACTTCATGGATGAAGCACTTTACCAAGGAAACGTCGTGAAATGTCGATTTTCAGTAATAATTTTAAAAAATATCAACTCTTTAAAGAGTAATGCATTTTTTAAAATTCTAGTTGACACCCATGTTTTTATAGAATACACCTTTTTTCTAACAAATAAAGACTTTTCGACCATATTTATTTCATAAAAATAATCTAATTAGTCCAACGTTAATTAATATACTGTTACAAAAAATCATGTCTTGCAAAGTATCACGCGTATACGTGATACCCTTTGCCCGAATAATGGTAGATCTTAGCAAATTTTTCGGAAATATGTTTTTTTTTTTTTTTTT